TCTGTACTCACCCATGTCCGCGCTGAGAAATACTACTTCTTTTTGATCCTCCCCAATTCCTTTAGTATTCCACCCTGAGCCTGTGCATCTCGCTGACGTTGTTGTTCTCGTATGCCCTCCATATAGTTCTTCTGACAGCTTTGTTTTCCTTGCCTCTTCCAGGTCTGTTCTGTGTCTGCGTAGCAAAGTTTGTATCTGCGCCAGCTCCTCCTTGATCTCCCCCAATCTCTCCTGCGTGCCAGACTCTATTATGTCCGCTCTTAACTTCATCCTTTCTGCCCGTGGGGAATGCCGTAGTAACTGGAAAGCGGCCGCCCCATTGTCTTCCTGCTTCTTCTTGGTTGGGAATATTTCTTACATGGCATTCCTGCCCGCCTCGCTCCGTTTCTTCCCCATCTGGTCCGCCGTGGGGCGCTCCCGTAGCTTCCTCCATTCCTCCCCTGCCGTTAGCTCCCCCCCTGGGTCGCACTCCGAGAAGACCTCGCTAATGATTCTCCTGGGAGCTCGGCAGGTTCCTGGGTTGCATTCCGAGAAAACCTCGCTGATGCAATTCCGCGGAGTATTGAAGGATCAGCCTGGGTCGCACTCAGAAAAGCTCGCAACTGCTCCTCCTGGCTCCAGTGGCTGGGCGACCTGCAGGCGGCGGTCGAACGCGCTCAAGAATTCCGCCCGCGGGCGACCTTTCCTCGAGCACTCCATCCGCATGTTGCGGTCCGCTTCTTTGTCTGCTCTTTGCTGTCGGTGCTTGCCCGAGAAATGAAACTGATGCTCCAGTCCAATATCCATGCCCAAAGGGATGTGGTCTCGGTGTCCTCTCGCTTCTATCTTCCGTTTTTTGCCGCTCCTCTCAATGCAGCGCGCCTCCGCGCATGGGGTAGGGCCCCCGTCGGTATCGCTATGTGGTCTATCTTGCTCGTCCTCATCGTCTCGTCTTTCGCGCAGTAGTAGGTCGGCCCACAATCGATGAACGTCGTGACAGGTGACAATTCGCTGTGGACACAACGCTCCCTGAAAGCTGTTCCATTATCGTTCTCCACCCCCTTGGCAACTGGCCCCAATGCTGCTGCGTGTTTGTCCGAGCCGCGCCTGCTTACCACGGGATCCCTGCTGTCTGACTTGTGCGGTCCCAATTGGCTGTTGGTGCCCCCTCCCGCCATGATAGTTGGTCGTCTACGCGTGTCGTCGCACTTCTCTTCCACCCGCTTCATATTTTTGAGATCATCTCATTGTTTGCGTGCCCTTTATCTGGCGGCAAGTACGTCGCGAAGATTGTAAGGTCGTGGGCTCTCGTGCGCAGCCTAGCCCCTGCCGTTCTTCCTTGCAGTTGTGCAGGTGGGGAGTACTGCGCGTGCCGCGTGATTTGTTGAACATTTTTCCCTTCTTTGCCCCGACTTGCAGTGCCGTATGATATCTGTGTTTCGTCTTCTTCGTCGGCTCTGGGCCAGCCCACTGGTGTGTCCCTGTCAGCGCAATCACATCCCAGTCTCGTAGTGCACTGCTAATTTCTTCCAGCCTGTCCGTGGTATTCGCCGCCAGCGGATTGTAGAGTGCCAGTTTCATCAATGCGCGTATCGAGAGTATTGCGAACGCCGTCCATCTGCCGTGCCCCCCCAGCTCCCTCTCTGGCCCGTGCGATCGCGGGGCGGTCGTCGTGTGAGAGAGTTTCAGCAAGCCCTCTCTCCTTCGGATCTCAGAGTGCCTGAGCCTCCAACGCCGACTAGGAGGAGGAGGAGAGGGGAGAGGAGGGACAGGGGAAGCCCGCGATTCGCCCGAGAAGGGGAATTATTTTTTAAACAGGCGCCCCCACGCGGATTTGTTTACCACAAGCTGACATACTAGTGGCGCTACTCGCCCCTCGGCGCCGCGGGTGGATGCGACTCGAAAGATGGGTCAGAGCGCGCGCCTCGTGGAGAGGTCTGGGGGGCAGCGGTCTCGGTAGTCACTTTTCTGTCCCCCAGAGACCTCGCAGGATTGGCGCGCTAGCGGCCAGCGATGGATGCCCGTGCATGGGCGGCGGCCAGCGCGCGGGCGCTGGCTCGGCGGCTCCGCCGACGGCGGCGGGCTGAGCTGGGCCGCGCGCGGGCCGAGGCGCTCGCCCTGCGCACGAAGTCTCTCCGGGGCTCGATTGCGGAGCACTGGCGCCTGAGCGACCGGTTGGGTTGCCACTTCTCGACTTTGGGAGAGGCGGCGGCGGCTGTGCGGCTGCCGGGCGACCGGGGCGTCATGGTCGACGCGGAGGAGGCGATGGTCACGGGCAACTGGGCCAGGCATCGTGCACCCCTTGGCCTGGTGCAGCAGGGGCCCCGCCCTCGCTCGGCGGCAGTCTGGGCGTCTGACTACGAGGAGCTCCGCGTCGGCTTCTTCAGCGGCGCCTTTGGGGCGACGGAGGCGCTCCTTGAGGCTCTGGAGGGCGAGGGGGACAAGGGGTGCGGAACAACGACCCGATCCAGTTCGACGACGGCGTGGCGCTCTCCAAGGAAATGGGCGAGTGCGGCGATAGCATCGGGGTGGGCGGGGGCGCGCGCGAGGAGCTGGAGGTCGACGACTTCGCGCGGGGCCCCGCAGGCCTGTGCGACGGCGTCGGCGAGGTGCCGACGGTCGGCGTCGAGCCTTTCGTCGAGGCGAGCTCCGACATCATCTTCGGTGTCACGCAGGGGGCGGGATGGCCAGCCAGAAGCAGGAGCTGGAGGTCGAGGAGTCCTTGGACAATGACTTTGACGCGCCCGACCCTCTTGGTGGCGAGCTGGGCGGGTGCGATATTGACGTGCCCTTCGGCTGACTGGCCGAGATGGGGGCCCGGGCGGGCCGCGAACTCTTCGGGGGGGCCACGGAGGGGCACGTCGCAGATATCTAGGCGCTCCACGCTGACTTAGTCCGCCCGCAGGTCGAGTGCGGGGGCGGCCAGACGCGGGAGCTGGAGGGCGAGGTATTCGCCAATGATCGCGACGTCGACGCGGCCGTGGAGTTCGGCAGCGAGCTGGGCCAAGGCGAGATTGACGTGCTCGTGGAGTGCCTGACCGAGATGGGGGTGCAGGCGGACCGAGAAGTCCTCAAGTGGGCTTCGGCGGAAGAGGAGTCAAGACGCTCCGCGCCGACTTCGTTCGTCATGAAGCTGGTGGTGCGGAGCCTCGCCATTCCGAGTCCGCTCAGGCTCCCGCCAGCAAATCGGCGCGCAGGCGAGCGAGCGAGGACAGAGCAGGCTCAACGGCAGGCGCAGATTGCTGAGCAGGGTTGGATTCAGCACAACATCGCGCGGAACGACGAGTGGGGGCAGGCCTGGAGCCTTGCACACGGACCCCGAGCGTGGCTTCCATGCGCAGGTTCGCAAGGAGAGTGCGCGAGCCGCACAGGCGTAGCGGCGGCGGCGCGGCCGAGCAAGCGTGGCCGCAAAAAACGGCCGCGGCGTGGGGCGAGCGGGCGGGGCCGCGCGTCTGCGGCTGTTGGTGCGGTGACGCTCGAGGGGCGGCCCTCCGCGGCCTGCAGAGGGGGCTCCTGCTCCCCCCTCTGTGGCGCGAGGGCGGGCCCCCAAGTGGCGGCCGCCTGCGCCGGCGATCGGCGGCCGCGCGGACGAGGGCCCGCTCTTTCTTTTTTCTCTTTTCTCTCTCTCCTTCAGTGGCGTGCGATCCCCCCCCCCCTCCTCCTCCTTTTTTTTTTTTTTTTTTTTCTCCTCCTCCTCCTCCTCCTCCTTTTCTTCCTCATCCGCTTTTTTCTTCTCCTCGAGAGCGCACCTCGTGGAGAGGTCTGGGGAATGGCGGTGTTGGTGCCTTTCTGTCCCCCCAGAGGCCTCGCAGGAGCTGCCTCCCGATGCAGCCCAGCGCGCCGTGCCGTGCTCCGTGCCCGAGGGAAGGGGGGGGGAGCCAGAATAGATGTCCATGTCCACCGCTTTGGAGTCGTGTCTGGGATCTTGTGGATTGGTGGGTATGGATGTCTGCCCACCCTCACGGGCGGGCAGACATCCATAAGCCACGGCTTTTCGAGTCCCCGCGATAGGACCCCGCGGCAGTGGATGTGATACTCTGGTGGGGCAGGGGAAAAAACACAGGGGTCGACCTAAACGGCGTTTTGGCCATTTGGTGGGCTGTTTTCGTTTCCATGCGGCGAACGAGGGGGGGAGGTGAGAAGGATAATGTCCTCTCAGGAGGCGGCGGTGCTTCTCAGAAACCGTCCATCCTTCTGCGAAGTTATCTGTGTCTTCGGAGAAGGCTTGGACAACTTTTCGGAAGGCCTGGTGACTTCCGAGCCTTCTGAGAAGGTCCGCCCCTTCTCATTTCCCTTCGGGTTCGCCGCCGACTTTCGATTTCGTATTGCAGCAAAGGCGGATTGAAGACAAAAGAGGGAAAACGAAAACAACACGAACACGAAACACACTGTTTAGGTCGATCCCTGAGGGAAAGGAGGATGAGGCTCGAACCTCGGCGTCGGAGCCTTTTTTGAAAGGGCCTCTGGAGGTTCCCGTCGCCGCGGCCGGGCGCAGCTCCAAAGGTTGCCCCAGGGTGGGCTCTGGTAGGGGTTTCGGGATCAATTTTGCGCGGATGTTGGTCGAAACTCCTCGAGGTGACGGAGCGAGCAGGTGAGCATAATGCTCCTCAGCCAGGCCTTCCAACCGGGGTCGGAGCCGACGGGGTCAGAGGATCGCGCCACATCGCCGATGCATCGGCGGTGCGGCATCGGCGGTGCGGCTCGACGTGGAGCCCGACCTTCACCGCGCCGATGCATCGCCCACGTCGCCGATACATCGGCGATGCGTCGGCGATGGCGGTGCGATCCTCCGACCCCGTCTACGCAGACCCCACGTGGGAAGCCCCAGTGGGGGGGGGGAGCGGCACGCTCCCCCCCCTTTCCCCCTAAGGGGCGCGGGCCCGCAGAGGGGGACATCCCTCCATCTCCGCGGCCTCGGCCGCGTTTTTTTGGGTTGCTGCGCACGCGCTCCTCTTCTTCCTCCTCCTACTCCTCCTCCTCCTCCTCCTGCTCCGACGTTCTCCCTCTGGCCATTCTATTTCAGTTCTGCTTGGATCCAGCGGCTGCGTGGGGGCTCGGAACACTGCTCCAAGCGCGGTGCCCGTTCCCTAAATACATGTCGTCGCGCTCGGCCGTCGATGAGGCGGCGGACGCGGCCCGGTGGCGGCCCGAGTGGCCGATGCAGGCCTGGGAGTGGCACAGGGCTGTGAACCGCAAGTGGGTGCCTTACAACACTGAGGTCTCCGCGGCACTCGAGAAGCTCTACCAGGACAAGTTCCCGGAGTTCGATCGCGAGGGCGACCTGTACAAGTTCCGGGGGGCGAACAGGCAGCTCTACGTGGTCGACCTGTCCGCGTTCAAGCAGCGGAACCTCGGAACGAAGGCCGTGCGCGACGTACGGCGCAGGGCGGCACGGCCAGCACCGCTCTGGGAGAGCCGCCGGGGCGCGATCGAGAGCGCGGGACAGGCTGGGCAGGCGCAATTTGCGCTCAGCTTTTTCGAGGGCTCCTGGCGCAACTGGCCGGAGCCGCAGGAGTCTTACGCGGCAGCAGGAGAGCCACCGTCGACGGTGGCTGGCACTGAGACGGCAAGCGGAGGAGGAGGAGGAGATGAAGCCTTGGACGTGGACGATGACGTCGACGAGGACTCGGACAGCGACGGGTCGCCCAAACATCTGATCATGGCTTCGGAGGGCGCGGACGAAGGGGCTCTGAAGGCTCAGGGCCTCACGCATGAGTGCTACACGATCGAGTATGTGGCGGACCCACAGAGCAGGTGGGGTTTTGAGTACGCACGCAGTACTTGCTCAGTGCCAGGGTGGTACATGACACACGACTACATGCCTGACTACGCGGAGCGCTACGTCCTGGACGTGGCGCGAAGCGCGTCTTCTGGTGAGGTTCCGAAGCTGGTGTGGGTGTGCGTGTGGCAGGAAGGCCGGCAGAACGGGTACCCGCCCTCTGATGCGTGCTGGTGCTTCGAGGCCGACGAGCAGGCGTGGTGGCGGTCCAGCGCATAGGCTCCAGAGGCGAGCGGCCGCGGCCAAGGATCAGCCAGAGCGCTCGACGAGGAAGTGTAAAAGAGAGGTTCTCGAGCTGGCGCGGGCAGACCTCGATGTGGGGAGGAGGGAACAGCCTCCCCAGTCGACGGGTAAGACGGGCGAGGAGGGAAGGAGAAAGGGGCGGGTGTGTGTGGAGGGGGTTGGGGGGTAAAGGGTGGGGTGGGTCGGGGTTTGGACGGGGGGAGAGCGGGAAGGAGGGGAACGAGGAAGGGAGGGGAACGGGGAAGGGCGGGAGGTGGGGTGAGGGGTTTGGGGGGGGTCATTTCGGATTGTCGAAGGGGTTGAGGCGGCGAAGAGGGGGTGGAGAAGGCACGCCAGCACCAGATCGGTGCCAGGGGCCAGCCTGAAAAGATGGTATGGTCGTGCCCTTGGCGCCCACTGCGCCCCATCCTTGCCCCAGAGGGGGAGGGGGGTCCTCGCGAGACGTGAGCCCCGAGGCGGCGACGACATGCTGAAGTTCAAGACCGTCGAGGATGGGGGGCGGGAAGGACAACGCTTCACCCCTGCTCTTCCCCAGTCCCTCCTCCCTTTCCCGCTCCGTCAATGCTGCCCCGCCCCTCGCTTCCTCTCCTCTTTCCCCTCGAGGGTTCTGGCGGACAGGGGGCGGAGGTCCGCCCCGGAGTTGAAGCCGGCACCTGCCCATTCCATCGTTGCGCGCGCGCTCCCGCTCCACCTCCCCCCCTCGTCCTCCTCCGCCTCCCGCGCCTCTCCTTAGCTCTGACTGCGGGGGGCGTCAGTTATCCACCTCGCCGGCAGGGTCCCGCCCGCTCGAATGTTCGAAAGCCCGCCCGCCCGACCCGCCCAGTAGGGTCTCGCCTGCCCGACCCGCCCGTTAGGGTGCCGCCAGCCCGATCCGCCCTTTAGGGCCCCGCCCCCCGCCGCCGCCGCCGCCGCCGCCGCCGCCGCCGCCGCCGCCGCCGCCGCCGCCGCCGCCGCCGCCGTCGTCGTCGTCGTCGTCGTCGTCGTCGTCGTCGTCGTCGTCGTCGTCGTCGTCGTCGTCGTCGTCGTCGTCGTCGTCGTCGTCGTCGTCGTCGTCGTAGCCATCGTCGTAGCCGTCGTCGTCGTCGTCGTCGTCGCCGCCGTCGTCGTCCTCGTCGTCGTCGTGGTTTTCGTCGTGTTCGTCGTGTTCGTCGTGTTCGTCGTGTTCGTCGTGTTCGTTGTGTTCGTCGTCGTTGTCGTCGTCGTTGTCGCTGTGTTTGTCGCCGTCGTCGTCGTCGTCGTCGTCGTCGTCGTCGTCGTCGTCGCCGCTGTCATTTTCGTCGTCATTTCCGTCGTGTTCGTCGTGTTCGTCGCGTTCGTCGTCGTCGTCGTCGTCGTCGTCGTTTGCCAGCGCGCCAGGGGGTGTGTACCTCCCCGACTTACTTATGAGGATTCCCGCCAGAAGGGGGGGGCCCTCGGAGAAGGGGAGGATATTTTCGGTGGGGTCTTGGCGAGCGGTGTTCAGTTTTTGCGATGCACGCCGCCCGCGCAAGGCGCTCTCTCCGAAAACGGTATCGCAGGCGGGGACGGCACTCTGAGAGGATCCAGGAAGGAAGGCCTCGCGGGAGCCCGGCATAAAGATGACAGGCGTCACATGTCGTGTTTCGTTGGCATGGTCCGAAGGGTTAGGAAGACGTGCATCGTCTCGGACTAAGGGGGGGATTGGGGAAGAGGGGGATACACAGTCTGCTGCGTTCAGCGGGTTTCTGCCTCGCCGCCACGCATTTTTTTCGATGCATGGCCGTCTCAAGTGCTGGAAGGCGCCGGTGAAACCCGATGCATGCGGCTGATTCGCTAACTCACCCTTTGCTGTCCCCCTTTTTGGCCGCCCCGAGTAAAGCTTTGTGCTTGGGTGGTTCTGTGGGTCTGATCGTTACAGCGGCAGCAGCTAGACTCTGCTCTACCGCTGCTCCAGTATATCCTAAGGAGCCGCTGGTTTTGCCTGCGAGGCCATCATATTACACGACGCTACTGCCGCTGCTGCTGCTCCTCCTCCTCATTCTCCTCTGATCCTGCTCCTCCAATTCCTCCCCCTGCTCCTCCGACTCCTCCCCCCAGTCACCCCCGTCGTTCTCCTTTCCTCCTCCTCGGCCTCCGTCTCCTCCTCTTCTTATTATTATTCTTCTTCCTCCTTCTCCTCCTCCTCTTCCTACTCTCCTCCGTCAAGCTCCTTCATGCTGCGGAACGTCTGCCTCCCGATGAGACACGATGCTCAGATATTAAACACCGAAGCCGAATTTGATTAGGTGGTGAGGCCGAAGCTCCGACCCACCACTCGGTTGGTGGATGGATCTTTCCCCACCTCGAGCAGCTTGAGGGTCTTGCTGGCATCCTTATTGAGGGGAGCGCCGCGGCACGGCTCTCCCAACAAACGAAGCCTCGAAGATCTGAAAGCCGCGCATGATGAGCACCAGATCAGCGAATTTCCCATCAGTCACAGCTTGTGCGACCTCTGCGCCAGCCGAGCGAGGCGAGGCAGATTCGCGCAAGGCAGGGTGCAGGCAGCCTTCTCCGAGAGGTCTCGTGCACCGCAGCGAGTGCAACAGATAGCCTTCCCTCCTTCCCTGCCTTGCCGACCCGCTGCACCACATGACTCTGAGGGTCGGGAACGAGGAGCAGGGGGTCAAGGGTAGGCCGACGAGCTTTCTTCACATGCTGGACATCTGTAACGTTTATCTTGCTGAGGTGCCGACCGAAAGGCCCCAGGAGCTTGGCCATGCGGAAGACTGAGCCGCGGCTATCTGCATGCCTCTTCTCTAGCACGGGGTTCGAGGGATGGTCCTTGGCACCGCGCTGGGGCTCCTCCTCATCTTCTCCTCATCCCCCTACGCCTCCTCCCCTTCCTCCCATCCTCATCCTTCTCCCATTCCTCGACAGTTCTTATTATACAACATGAACACTACTCTCCTCTCTCTCCTGGCGACGTCAGGCAAATAGTCGGCCCCCCTCTGTGTACAGGTTTTTTTGTTAAACACAGGATTCCCGGGAGTTGGGTTGTCGCTCGGTTTTTTCAAGATGTTGATCTCGCTGAAGCGTTGGCCTCATTTTCGGGCTACCGCCCGTTCCTAATCGTGCTCCCGTTGCAGCGCTGGCCCCCATTTCCGCGCTTCCGCTCGTTCCGAATCGTGCTCTCGCTGCCGCGCTGGTGTCATTATTTCCAGCGCCATGCCACGGCATGGTTTTCTGTCCTTCGAGGTAGACCTCAAAATCTAGAAAATGCCCCCCCTCCGAAACAACCATCGGAAGTGATTCCACAGTCGGTATCGATTCGTTGATTTTTTGGGCAGCATAAGCCCCCCCACTTTGGGGAGTCTCCACGCCATGCTATGTCAGGCTACGCGTTGATCATCAACACCATGCTATGCCATCCATTGAATGCTATGCCCTGCTACGACATCCGACTGTGCGAATGGAGAGGAGATGTACGCCATGGTAAGGGATGGGAGGGAGGGATAGGACGTCAGATATGACGCGAGCGCACCTAACTGGCCCTCCCACCCCTCTCCCAGTCCCCCTCCTCCCCCTCCTCCAACCCCTCTCCCACCCTTGTCCTGCTCCTCCTTCTCGTCCTCCTCCTCCTGCTGCTGCTGCTCCTCTTCCTCCTCCCCCTCCTCTTCCTCTTCTTCCTCCTTTCCCTCCTCCTCCTCCTCCTCCTCCGCCTCCTCCTTTCTCCTCTCCCTCCGCCTCCTCGTCGTCTTCCTCCTCCTCCTCCTTGTCCTGCGGCTGCTGCTGCTGCTGCTGCTGCTGCTTCTCCTCCTCCTCCTCCTCCTCCTCCTCCTCCTCCTCCTCCTCCTCCTCCTCCTCCCCTGCCCTGCTGATTCCCCGGGCGCGGCGCCCGTCGCAACGCGAGGAGATCGACGAGCTCGCCCGCGAGAAGGACCTCAGCGTGTCGCGGATGCTGCGGCTCGCGTACCCCGCTGTGGAGATCCGGTGGGCCGAGGCGGCGCGGCGGGCTTTAAGGGAACACACGGGCACTGCTGCCTCACACGGTGGCGTGCGGCACCACACGCGTCGGCGGCTGATGCTCACTCTACACGTCCAGGCCGCACCGATTCCTTTCACGCGGCCTGGGTCACGCACCAGTCGTCTGCTGGCCCGCGACGCGCCCACCGGGTTAGGGGAACAAGCACTGACATGAACACAAAAACTCGGAGGTTCGCGCGGAGTCCTCCTCAGGCGCCGCCCCTGGCGCGCTCCGCGCGCCAGGGAGGGGGGTCCAGCGCCGATCCGAGGCATCTGCACTGACCTCCAAGTTTTTGTGTGTTGTGTCATTGTTTGTTCCCCTAGTCTTGGTGCTCGATCTTGATCTCCAACGTTTTTCCGGCAGCGAGCCCAGGGGGGATGTGAGAGGGGGCAGGGGGTCAGGCCTTCTCTGAAGGCGGCGGGGCTTCTCAGAACCCCCCCGGCCTTCTGACAAGCCGTCTCTGTCTTCGGAGAAGGTCTAGACAAATTCTCAGAAGGCGCGAGGGACTTTGAGAAGCCCCGCCGCCTTCTGAGAAGGCCTGCCCACTCTCACTTCCCCCCTGGGCTCGCCGCCGAGTTTTGAGCATTACTCAGGACGACGTTACTTGGGGACCCTCGCCAGGTCCTGGGACCGTCAAGACACGACCTGGGATGAAGAAAAGCCTGTCCCCGAGGGGTGGTCCAGAGCTCCAGGGGCCCCGCACTGGAAAAATCAACACGTCGGCGGTTCGGTCGCCCTCGATGGCTCGGGTCGGACAAAAGGGGGGGGATCGGGAAAGGAGGGGCTACCCATCATTCGTTGAAGACAGGTACGTTTTTGGGTTCTTGGATCCTACTCTGCTTTGTTAGGCGCCTTCCCGCTTCAAACGTCGGATTGTTTCTCCTTCCCCTTTACCTTCCTTTTCAGGAGTCGGTGGAAACACAATCTACTTTCAACGCCTTCCTACGTTGTGCTTCTTTCCACTTCTTCCGAACGATGGGTACGGTATCTTCTGCATCCAGCTGGTCTCATCTCCGCCGCCAGTCGCTTTTCCCGATACGCCGGCGCATCTGTCGCTGGTGGGCGCCGGGAAAACTAGCTGCGTGAGCTGATTTGCTAACCCTCCTTTGCTACCCCCCTCTCAGCCGACTCGAAAGAACGTACGAGTCGAGCTCACACCTGCTGGGCGAGTGCCACAGCACACGATTTTGTTCGTTGCCCTTCGGTCTGGGCTTGGGGCTGCGGCTCGCAGGCCGGAGGGGGTCCTGGCTTGCGCGCGCTTAAGCTTAAGGCGACGTCGTTGCCGGGCCGCTTCTGCCCACCATCGCGACGCTACGATCCCAGTTGTTCTAAGTTCGCCGAACGTCGAACAAAAAAGTGGGGAACGGGAGGCCTCCCAATCCCTTCTCGTCTTTGGTCTTTTGGGGCCTCTGGAGGCTTCAGGCTTCCGGAGGCTTCAGAGGGCGAGAGAGAGAGAGAGAGAGAAATGGATTTCGATTATGTACGTGTATATATGTATATGTATATAGATATGTCTACATATATGTATATGTATATATATATATATATATATATATCGGAGTTTTGGGGGTGGGGGGGTGAGATCGCAGTGGAACGGAGACCCCCAACCGGGAAATCGTTTCGTTTCGTTCGTGTCGTGCGTGCGGGCGAGGCGAAGCTGCGTGGGCGCGCGAGAAGAATGAATCCGCCGTTGCTAGGGCGAAGTCAAGACAAGTGATTCTCCCTCGTCCGTCCGTCCGCCCGTCCGGCGGTGGCCCTAGCGGTGTTCCGCGGTGTCCCGTGGTGTCCCGTGGTGTCCGCCGTTGCTAGGGCGAAGTCAAGACAAATGATTCTCTCCAGTCTGTCCGTCCGGCGGTGGCCCGCGGTGTCCCGCGGTGTCCCGTGGTGTCCCGTGGTGTCCCGTGGTGTCCGCCGTTGCTAGGGCGAAGTCAAGACAAATGATTCTCCCCCTCCCGCCCGTCCGGCGGTGGCTCGCGGTGTTCCGTGGTGTCCCGTGGTGTCCGCCGTTGCTAGGGCGAAGTCGAGCCAAATGATTCTCCCCCGCCCGCCCGTCCGTCCGTTCGTCTGGCAGTGGCTCGCGGTGTCCAGCGGTGTCCCGTGGTGTCCCGTGGTGTCTCGTGGTGTCCCGTGGTGTCCCGTTGAGTGAGATCGATAGTGAGATCGATAGTGAGATCGATAGAGAGATCGATAGTGAGATCGATAGTGAGATCGATTTGGTGCCCAGAGGTGTCCCGTGGTGTCCCGAGGTGTCCCAAACAGTGAGATTGATAGTGAGATCGATAGTGAGCTCGAGTTAGTGAGATCGATAGTGAGATCGATGTGGTGTCCCGAGGTGTTTCGTGGTGTCCCGTGGTGTCCTATGGTGTCCTGTTGAGTGAGATTGATAGTGAGATCGATAGTGAGACCGATCGTGAGATCGAGAGGTGTCCCGCGGTGTCCCGTAGTGTCCCGTGGTGTCCCGTGGTGTTCCGTTGCGTGAGATCGATAGTCAGATCGATAGTGAGATCGACAAGTGTCCCGTGGCGTCCCGTGGTGTCCCGCGGTGTGAGATCGATAGTAAGATCGATTGAGTCAGATGTTGGTTTCCCTCCCTCCCCCCCATAACCTTCTTATCACCCGAAGGGTGGTCGTATACGTATGATTATCTTTGGATGCAGTTTTCCTCCGCGTCGAGCGGCCAAGCGAGAGGGTCTCCACCCCTTCCTTCTTTCTCCCTTGCTGGTCGCCCCTGCTGCTGCTCTCCCCTCTCGCGGCCATTCTGGTTTCAAGGCTTGCAAAGGTCTGCGCCGCTTCGCATGCCCGTTCCCCTCGCGGCTCTCGGGCAGTGGAGCGCGGCACTGGTTTCAGTCTGGGCCAGTCGTTGCCCCGCCTGCCCGGCCTGCCCTCCCTGCGGGTCCGTCAACGTCACCTGCGGCAATTGCCCGCCGGCGCCCGTCGTGGCTTGCCCGGCTGCGCCGGACGTGCGGCCCTGCCCCGAGCTGTCCTGCCCGATCCCTGTCCCGCCGTCGCTGGACTGGGTCTCGTGGCTGGTGCTGGGCTGGATCCTGGGCGTGCTGTGCGCCGTGGCGGCGCTGGCTGCCTGCGCCCCCGTCGCGGCCATCCTGCACGGGTTCACCTCGCGGGCGGCGACTCGTCCGCCAGGCGACGGCGCTGCCGCCCCTGCCTCCTGGCCTAGGGCCATCCGAGGCTGATGGCTCGCGCGGGGGCCGAGACCCTCGACATCTCCGAGAGCCAGGTGTGCATCGCGTTCGACGACGACCCGAATTTCCGATGGCACCACAGGGTCTTATTGGTTCCCTCGCCTACGCCGGGGCACTGGGTCGCCGCCACGCCCGACGCCGAGATCTACCTCCTGAAGCTGGACGAGTACCTGGTGGTCGCCCTTCCTCGGGCGGCCGCTTTCCCCCAGCGTGTTCGAGGCCAGGTCTACGCGTTCGGAGCCCTCTCGGACGCCGACCTCTCCAACCTCCGTCGCGATGGCCGCAACTTCGCGAAGGTGCTGGGCTTCCCTCTCCCCGCGGTGCAAGCGGGGGTCGACGTCCCCAGGTGGATCGTCTCCGACCCTGCGAGCGACCACTTCGGGGAGGAGGTGAGCCTGGAGCTGATCACCTCGGCGGAGCGCTTCATCAGCCGCGACGCCGTCGCGCTGGTGATGTTGTCGGAGGCCGAGGGCTGGGTCGCTGCCGAGAACGTCCAGCCCGCCGACGAGCCCGACTGGAAGGCGGAGAAGAGGGCTGGTCCTGGCAGGGACCGCCGTGTGCTGCCGCAGACGGGCGTCTCAGCGCACACCGTCTCCCTGGCGCAGCTGGTGGCCCTGCTGAAGAGCGTGGGGGTCGACGACTGGCCCTTCGAGGGCCCCAAGGCCCTGGTCGAGTTTCTGGCGGCCGTGGTCTCTTCGGGGCACTCGCTCTCGTCCTACTGGGGCTTCTGGGTGGCCCAGTCGGGCGTCGCGCGTGGCAGTGCTGTGGCCCAGGAGCTGAAGAACATCGTCGAGGTCCTGCACCATGCCCTGGTCTTCGACTCGCTGGACGTCTCGAACCTCGCCTCGTTCGAGCTCCTGAGCCGCCGGGGCCTCCAGATCCAGAGGGCGGTCAAGCGGTGCCCTCGCCACCCCTCTTTCGAGGGCCTGGAGCTGATGGTCTCGAGTCGACTCGACGACTCGGGCGGGGCGGTCACCGCCAAGTTCGATGCCTGGGTCGCCGACCAGCAGAAGGCGAGGAGCACCGTGCTCAAGCAGGAGAGGATGTACAGGGAGGAGGCCGACCACGAGGACAAGAAGTACCGCACCGAGCAGAGGGGCGAGGCAAGGCCCCCGCGCCCCAAGGCCAAGCCGAAGGGCAAGGCCGGGCCTGGGCCTGGCGGCGCAGGCTAGCGAGCCGGGGGCCTCCGCGCCCCCCCCGGCCGCGGCGGCCCCCGCCGCGGCCGACGGCACACCGCGTCGCCATGGCCTCCTCCATGGACCGCGGCTGCCCCCCCGTCGAGGGTTCCTCCTCGCGGGGGCCACCCCCTTTGTTCCCGCTTCCGGTCACGGACGCCTTCTACTCGCATCCGCCACGTGGGGAACGTACCGCTTTGCCTCGGTATAAGGCGCAGCGTGCTGCCGCCGCTGATCGTCGTTCGGCCTGTGCCGTCGAGACGATCACGACCCTCAATGGGATGGCCGCCGCTTGTGCTGGGAGGGACGTCGTGCTTCGGCCCCCTCAGAGGACTGGGAGCGCCGACATCGCTCAAGAGTCGGCGCTCAGGCGCATCCGCCGTCGGATTGGTGCCTTCGGAGATCGGCCCGCTGACATGGATGGCGCTGGAGCCCTACAGGAGCTCCTCAAGACCAGGGACGTCTACGGCGGCCTCGACGCGTCCACGACTGTGGTCGATTTTGATCCGAGCCGCCTCAACATCCTACGCAAGGAACATTTTTCAACGCCACTCGACGACGTGGCCCCCCAGAGCGTCAGGGATGTGATGGCCAACTTCGACT